GTGCTTCAACGTGGGCTGCGTGCACCTGCTGGCTGGGGACCCGGAGGCCGCGCTGCAGGTGAGCCGGGGGGCCTGACGACCAGGCGCCCCGAGGGTTGGTCTCAGAGACCCCACCCCTGGGGATGCTGTTTTCTGGCCCTGGGGTGGGGGTCATTGAGCGGTGGGATAAAGACCCAGCTGCGGGAGTGAGCTCAAGGCCCCGCCCTTCCTCCCTGATGGCCACCTGGGAGTGTCTCCCCAGTGTTCCGTCTCAATAAACGCCTGAGGCAGGTGGGAGCAGTGAAGTGGGGGAGGTCCCAGGTTGAGCTGTATCAGGGCCAGAATGGGGGATGTGGGGCTCCCTGACTTGCCTGCACTATGGGTGACCATGTGCCAACTCTGCAGTCGTGGGGAAAGCTCAGGGTGAACACTAGCTCAGATGCTAACATGCCTGGAAACAGGCTCCAGGCTGAATGGGGCTGGGAAGGGGACCCGGGGGCTTCAGCAGACACCTGTGGTGAGGAGACAAGGTCTGTCTGGTTGGTGTCCAACCCCAGATCTGAGTACACACCTGTCTGCCACCCACTACCCGAAAAAGAACCAAAAGCTGGGGTGCACGGGGCACACACACACCTGCATCTGCCTGGGGGCAGTACAGAGCCCCTCCCTGCCCTTCAGGCGTCCCGCGGTTCATCGCGGTGATACCTGCCCCATGGGCGCGGGACAAAAGGCAGCAGCACTTGCCCGCTGCTCCAGTCCCCAAGTGCCCCTGACACACGGACTCTGGTTCCTGTGTTGCTCAGGCCATGGGTGACAGCTGCTGAAAACCACAGAAGTGGGAAGAGCCGAGGCGTCGTAAGAGGGAGTCAGTGACGCAGGTGTCTTGAGAACCTCACTGCGGGGGCACTGAGTCACGTGTGCAAGGGACCCGCTCTGCTGCTTCTCACAGCGGCGTCCGCCGCCGTGAAGTGTTTCCCAAGAAAGGAAACGCTATCACTGGCCCCAGCTGGTTCAGCAGGAGTCACTGGGGTACGGCCTGTCCAGTCACCACTTACGCTAGACGGTGATTTACTAGAGAGAGGGGACAAAGGTCCAGGGCAGAGGGGGTGAGTGTTAATCCTCCTCTGTTCTAGCAGGAGTCGGAGTGCTGTCCAAAGACAACACAATGAAGGAATAATAGCACGGGCATGTTTGTAGAAACACGGGGATGTTAAAAAGCGGATGGGACAGCTGCAGTGAATGAAACCGCGTCCGAGGAGCAGGGCAGGATGGGGTGCAGAGCTGGGACTGCAGTCTGTCGGTGTGAACCCGGAGGACCTGTGGAGACAAACGGGTCTCCCCAGCCCTGAGTGGCCACATCGCTGCCTGCGTGTGGACCTTTAACCTGGGGTCACACTCAGTTCAACAAGCCCCCATTCGGCCAGATTTGTTGGAGCAGCGCCATGGCGGCCCTCCCATTGCCTGTGCTTGGCCTGCCAGCTGCCACGTCCTCTTGCTGGTGTTTCACTGATGGCTGCTGCCCTCGTTAGCAGAAGACGTGGTTTCTGAATCCACTTTAAGGAAGAGCTGTGCTTTACGTGCTTGCTGAGCCTTTCGTATTATTGTTCTTCCTGATTCTATTAGATTAGAAGTGTGTCATATTGTATAAACTACCAAAAATTGGATTTTAAAAAGACAAAAATCTTGCATAACTCCATCCCCTGGAGGTAACTATGATTAACACGCTGGAGTGTTTCCTTGTCCTCATGGTAAACAAGTGGACCTGTGCCACCACCTAACTGAACCCTGAGCCTTTTTGCAAGGCACCTCAGGACCTCAGGCCGGTTCGGGTTGTGGCCGTGCTGTGTGCACCAGGCACAAGCTGGGGGGCCCTGGCCCGGCACGGGAGACTTCCTCCTGCAGGTGGCTGTTGTCGGGCAGACAGAATCCATTGACCTGTTGCATCCCCTCTGCCTGGACTACATCTGTGACGCAGGGGCTGGATTACAGGCCTTGGCATTCCACAGGCATTTTTGTTCCCAGGCATTTGACCAAGCGGTGACCAAGGACGCCTGCATGGCTGTCGGCTTCTTCCAGCGAGGAGTGGCGAACTTCCAGCTGGAGAGGTGAGCACAGCAGTGCCTTGTTCCTCTTCTGATGGCTCTTTGTCTCTGCAAAGCCCTTTCTCATGCTCCTGCCTCCTCTCGCCCAGCCCTCCTCGCGGGCTGCAGCCGAGCCCAGGAGAGGACGCTGTGGTCCTGCAGGAGGTGATGCAGAGCAGAGGCACATGGGGCCCCGGCCTCTGTGCTGTGGGTCACGGAGCCCCTTCTCCAGCCTTCCCCACTTTGCTCCTCGCCAGGCTCCATGTAGCAGGGAGCTGTGATTATGCCCTCTCTGCAGGCGTGGAAACTGAGGGCAGGGCAGTGGGACTGAAGCGTCCCAGGACACAGAGGTGGTGGGGGCTCTCTGCGCTGAGGCCCTTCCCAGGGAAGGAATCGGGGTTGCAGGACAAGCCCCACAGAGGGTCCCATGCTGGGCAGGGAGGCTTGGGAGCAACCTCCTTTTCTCATCAACCCAGGAGCCTGCCCGGGGAAGGTGGGGATTCTGGTGGGGCTGGGGGTCTCCAGCAGGGCTCTGCATGGGGAGGCCCACAGGGGCCAGGGGCCCGAGAGGCAGGCAGGAAATGCCTCGGGCACTCTGGTTTGGACTGAGGTTAGGGAGAGGGCCTGGGGTGCAGACGGGGGCCCGAGCAGGGGAGCAGGGGGCCGAGGTCAGAGCCAGAGCAGAGCTGGTGTCGTCTCAGCCCCGCGCTCTGCACAGCCTGTCCATGTATTGACTTCTTGGCCTGGTCCCCGGGACCTGAGTGCCCCCCATGTGTGGAGACCTGGGTAAGCACACCTGCCCCATGGCAGATGGAGCGGGGCCGGGAGGAATGGGGCAAAGCTCGACCGCTTTCCCTGTGGCCCCTGAGTGAGGGCCTCCCTGCTGCCCACAGGTTCTGGGAGGCCCTGTCCGACTTTCAGCTGGCTCTGGCGCAGCTGAGGGACAACGCTACCATCGACTACACCCAGCTGGGCCTGCGGTTCAAACTGCAGGCCTGGGAGGTGAGTTTGCACTGGCTTGTGCAGGGACGGGCCACTGGCAGGTGGGACCAGCTGGGGCACAGGGGGTGCTGTCTGGGGGACCAATGACCCAGATGGTCCTTCCAGGCCCCGAGTCCTGTAGGCCCTGTCATCTGGGTCCCACTGTCACAGGCGGGGCCACGTGACTGGGATGCTCCCTCTGGCCAGAGCTGCCCCAAACCCTGGTGGAGCGCTCCCACCCACCGGGAGAGGGCAGGGAGGGTCAGAGAGTCAGTAAGAGGCCACAGGCAGGTGGAGCTGGTCGGGAGTGCAGCCGGCTGAGGGCCCCTGACGCCCGCCCTTGGCTCCAGGCTCAGCCCTGTTCCTGGCCTCCCGGGAGTGTTGGCCTAGAGGGAGGGGCGTTGGGAGGATGCCTCCCGCGCTCTCGCTCTCGGTGCTCCCGGAAACGCACTGCCTTCCCAGCCCTCTGGAAACCACCTGTGTCCCAGCAAGCCGCCCACGAGGCAAGTCCTGATGGGGTGGAGCCCACAGCCCACTGTCCCCTGGCCCAGGGCGCTGAAGGTGCAGGCAGGGTGTGGGGAGCGGGCGGCCATGGCCCCACCAGGCCCTGTGGCAGCAGCTCTGGGAGCACAGTGTCCCTGCAGACCGTGGGGACAGGGGCTGACAGGGGCACACGCTCACTGTCCTCCACCCGCGTGCTGGCCAAGGGCTCAGCTCCCTAAAGCACCAGGCGACTTTGCTGCAATCCACAGCACACCCCCAGCACAGCAGCTAACTGAACCCGTCCCCCAAATCTCCTTCCACATGGGGGGAGGGAGCAGGACAGGGAAAGGTGGGGGCTCAGTGGGCAGGGCAGCACAGGGAGGAGGGGCCGTGAAGGGGGTCAGGCCTGACGCAGAACTGGGGAGACAGGCCAAGTGGACGCCTCCAGAGCAGGGTGATGGAGGGACTGCTGGCCCACTCCGGCTGGGGTCTGTATCCTGAGCCGCCAAGAGGCTCCCCATCTGCTGGGTGCCTGGAAGAGCCCTGAGCAGCTGGGTCTGGGAGGCGCCATGCTTGGAGCAGGGCCAGGGCTGGGAGCGAGGCCTGGGGGGCGAGGGAAGTAGAACCAGAGGTGGGACTGCAGGTGGGTCCCGGCCCCTGCCGTCACCTCCCCCTCACTCTCAGGTGCGGTTCAACATGGCTGCAGCGCAGTGCCAGCTGGGGCTCTGGGCTGAGGCCACCCGCAGCCTGGAGAAGGCCATCTCCCAGGGGCCGGACGGGGCCCGTGATGACCTGGATGTCGCCCTGGGCCAAGTACAGGTGAGGGGAGCTGGACTCCTGAGCTGACTCAGATGGCCTGGCAGGCCCAGAGCCTGCAGTTCAGGGCTCACGTCTGTCCACCCCCTCAAACCGGTCAGATGAACAACTTCTGGGAGGGGGCGGCCTGTGTGCCCAGGTGTGGGGCAGGCGAGGGCTCCCCGTGGGCTCCGGGGAGTGGGTGGGGAGCCCCAGCAGCCCCTTCTGCCACCAGGCTCCTGCAGCCGCAGTTCTGGGCAGATGCTCGAGTCTGACTGTCCCATCCCCTCCAGAAACAGGCCCCCCTGCAGCCTCGGCAGGTCCCGGGGGGCGAGGTCTTCCGGCCCCACCGGCGGCACCTGGAGCACCTGGAGCCTGTGGACTTCCTGGGCAAGGCCAAGGTAAAAGGGGGGGCAGCGTCTCACTTCTTGAGCCTCAGGGGCTCAGGGGACAGCAGCACCTGGCAGGCCAGAGAGGGGCCGGCGGCCAAGCCCACGCTGAGCTCACAGCCTGCCCTAAGCCCCGAGGCTGCGTTCGCAGGGCGCATGGTGTCATGAAGGCCTTGGTGGGTGGAAAGAGGGCATGGGGCTCCGGGGTCAGGGGCGGCATGTCCAGGCGGGGCTCACAGACCTGGGTCTCGGAACCCGGCTGCAGAGCCCCCCTCGCCGCAAGGTGGCGCTGACCCTGCCCACCTCTGCCCGGCCACGCTCTTCTGGCCCCAGCCCCTCCCTGCATCTCGGGGGCCTTGGAGAGCGAGACCCCCGGCTGGCCCGGGGAGGGCGGGGCAGCGCCAGCAAAACCGCGGGGCGGTGGGGCAGCTCACCCCAGGCGGGGAGGCTTGTGGGGAAGGGACGTCTCTGCGCGCACAAGGAGACTCGCTCTGGTTTCCGGCTGGTGGCCCTTGGGCCGGACCTGACACCCCCGGGATCACCCACGGGCTCGGTGCTGTGTCTTTGCTGGGGCCTGAGTGGAGGAGGGGCTCTGAGCTGCAACAATCCCTCAACGTGGGGCTTCTTATGGCAGGAGATGACTGTTTCTAGCGAACAAAATTATTTGGAAAGTTGTACTAAAAATAAGTGCAGATATTGTCCTTCATCAAACATATTTTTGCCACCTCCCTGCCCCCACCGTGTGGGTCTGGCAGCCTCGGGCCGCGGAGACTTGGGGGTGCAGGGCAGGCACCCTGGCCCGGCCGACCCCCTGCTGTCCCTCACCAGGTGGTGGCCTGCACTGTCCCTGATGACCAGCATGAGGACATCCAGCCTCAGCAGCCACAGGTGGGTAGGCACCTTCTAGCCCCGGCTTCTCTGGCACTTTGCAGTTAAGGAGGGAGGTGCCACAGGTGCTCTGAACCCTCCCCAGGGATTCCCCAACCTTCCTCTGATCTAAAATCGGGGGTTGGCGTCCCATCCTGTGTGAAGTCTGTGAAAACCGTGCAGCCTTGCTGGGGACACCAAGCCCCCTGCCCCGACGCTCCTGCAGGGACCTGTGTCCTGAGGAGCTGCACTCTGTGCCCATAGGTCCACGATGTGCATGGTGAAGCCGGGCCCTGGGCTGCCATACGGTAGGAAGGGGCTGTCTCCCCTCGGTGAGCCGGCTTCGCCTAGGGGCAGAGGCCCCACGTGAGGCCCGCTTCCAGCCCCTGAGACCAGAGCCCTTGTGCAGACCCTGCATGGCCACTCCCCGCCAGGGGCCAGGACTGTCACGTCCCCTTTCCAGACAGGCCGGAGCCCCATGTGGGGAAGGGGCATCCTGTCCCTCTCAGCCCTCTATGGGCCCCCTATTTGTCCAGAGGCCCAGGGGCACTCTGTCCTGAGTCCGTTCTGCCCCAGGGGCAGAAGCCACCTCCCCCAGAAGCCCTGCTCAGGCCTGGGTGGTCGGAGCCGAGGTGCGGGGAGAGTGCAGGCTGGGCTGTGGGTTGGCCCGAGCGGCCCCGCCAGACGCAGCCTCACAGGGGTGCTCCGAAGGGAGTTGTGCCTCCTCTCCTGCTCAGGGCTCTCTCAGGCCCACCTTTCACAGAGGCTCTCGACCGGGCGGGCTGAGTGAGGCCTGAGGGCCCCCTCCCCTCCCAGGGCCTGTGACAACCGCCCCTACAGGGCTGGTACCCTTTGCGACCCCAGGACACCCCTTGATGCAGAGATGGAGGTCAGCGCTGGCCAGGCTGGCCAGGCTGACTCCTGCACACTGGCCACCTCCGATGAGCAGGTGAGTGAATCTGGGTGGACAGGCAGGGCCATGGTACTGGGAGGACCCCCACCCCCAGGCTGAGCTTGGGGACAGCCCCAGTGAGTACTGTGAGGGTCTCAGGGCAGGGCAGGCGGCCTCACTGCCTGCGGAGGACGGTGCTTTGGCTTCATCAGTCCAGGGACTTGGCCAGAGCCAGACACAGAGCCTGGACACGAGGAGCAGGAGACACTGATGCTCATCGGTGCACCACAGGAGCCCAGGGGTCTGCTCCCCAGCCTGGGCCCTGGGGCGCCTGCAGCCCATGTGTCCCAGACGTGAGGCTCCCGCCCCTCAGCCAGGGCCCCACCTTCCTTCCCGGACACAGGACTCCCTGAGATGCCCCAGGTGCCGGCTGAGGCTGAGGCTGGAAGGGACACAGGCTTCTCCCCGGGGCAGGTGGGCCCGGTGGGTGCAGCGACCACGGCCTGCGGCCAGCAGCAGGAGCTGGGGAGGTCGCTGGCGCAGAGGAGGTGGCCGCCCTCATTTCTACTTTCACTGAAGTCCAGCTCACTCACTGGACAGAATGGGGCCCAGAAGCATGCTTCCCACACGGCCGTGCGTGGTGAAGCCCGCCAGGCCGGGGGCACACGCTGGGTGTTCGGGCTCTTAACCCTCCTGACATATGGGCATTCGCTTCCTCGTTGCTTTAAATAGCAGCTAAATCTGGTAAGAATCTACACATTTCGTTTACATAGTCCAACTGTTAGACCCCACCTGAGATCAGGATCTGAGAGAGCTGGTCCGAGTGGCTGGGACACATGTCCTCTGGGGTTTCTGCTGCCCCTCGAACACGCACACCCACTGTTTAGGTCCCAACATGGGTATGAAGTCCGGCTGGTCCCTGGCATTCGTTCTCAGCCTCCTGGGGTCACCAGGGACCCCCCAGCTGGAACTGCCACATCATAGTGGGCAGGGAAGACAGTCTGGTGCCCACTGGTGCAAGGTGGCCCATCTGTGGTCTCCAGGCCTGCAGGGACCTGGCTCATGCCCCGAGGTCACCCACAACTGGTCTGGACTTGAGGCTTCCGGCCTGGCCAGGCCGTCTCACAGGCCATATCCCCCATTACTGGCTCTGCTGGGACAGTGTCCATGCACTACCCTGACAAGCTCCAGGCTGGGGAAAGCTGTCTTCACCCTCAGGGCTCCACCCCTGCCCACGGAGGCCAGGCCCAGCGAAGACCCCACTCCCAGCCCCCACCCTATCCCAGCAGAGCCCAGCCTCTGGCTTTCTCTGCAGGGCACCCCCATGGAGCAGGCTGGCCAGCAGGTTCCTCCAGGTGAGGGCATCCAGAGCAGCGGATGGCAGGTGGGGTGCTCCGTAGAGGGAGCCCCAGGCAGGTACTGGGGGGCTGGGAACCCTCTTTGTCCTGCAGGGAGGAATCTGGTGGCCTCTGGGGAACACGTGGTGCCAGCAGCTCTTCCACTCCCAAAACATTCTGCTTTGGGGAGTGGCAGCCACTTGAGCCCCACCCCCACCTCCACAGGGCCGCTGGTGGCTGGGGAGCCGGGCCCTGGCTCCTCTGAGGACCCCGCGGGTGTTAGGGTAAGAGGCACAGGCTCTCGAGTCACCCCCCTCCAGGGACCTGGGGGCCCCAAGGCCAGACCCCATCCCTCTGAATCACCCCCAGGGACCCCAGCTGAGGAAGCCTTACAAATCGACAGCCCCAGCCCCTCCCACCCTTCAGTCCCTGCCCTGCCCCCTGGCCTGAAGCCCCCAACCCTGGCCGGTCCTGGGCGTGCAGATCTGGGGCCTTGAAGACCAACCACCTTTCTTCCTGGACCCAGGAAGTGGCTGCAGGGGGCCCCGAGTCCTTGGTGACCATCATGGTGCAGTGTGCCTTCACCCTGGCCCTGAAGGCCCCAAGAGGAGCTGACCTGTCCAGCCTGCGGGCTCTGCTGAGCCAGGCCCTTCCTCCCCAGGCCCAGCATGGGCAGCTCAGGTGGGTGGAAAGCAGGGCCGGAGGGCTCCAAGCTGGGCACCTCTCAGCCCCGGCCCTGGAGGAGGCGCTAGGCGCGTCAGAAGCTCTGGAAGTCAGAGGTCAGCACCCTCCCGAAGCCCCTGCCCCGTGCTGCCCACTCTGAGGGGTCTCTTTGCAGATACAGAGACCCTAGTGACGACAGGTGCTGGGTGCCACTCACTGGGGAGGAGGCGCTGCAGAGGGCCTGGCAAGGTGCGGCTGCCGGCCGCGGGAGGCTGCAGCTCCAGTGCCAGGTGAGCCTCAGTGGGGCGCGGGCCTGGGGCAGGCTGGTGGCCCTTCTCCTGGTGCCAGGCTCACCTGCAGCCCTCACCCTGCCGCAGGGAGTGGGCGGCCGGCCTGTCCTCTACCAGGTGGTGGCCCAGCACAGCTACCGCGCCCAGGGGCCTGAGGACCTAGGCTTGCGGCCAGGAGACACGGTGGACGTCCTGTGTGAAGGTAGGGCAGGCCACCACCCACCCCCACTGCCCTGCGGGGCCACGGGGCACATGTGGTTTCTGTGAGCAGACACCCCGACGTCCCCCCACAGTGGACCAGGCGTGGCTGGAGGGCCACTGTGATGGCCGAATTGGCATTTTCCCCAAGTGCTTCGTGGTCCCAGCTGGCCGGCGCACGTGAAGAGGTCAGCCCTAGGAAGTCCGTGGAAGGAGAGTTTAATAAAAAGCAATCTGCCTCCACCAAGGTGTGGTCTGTCTTCTGGGCTTGGTCGCTGAGAGGGCCTGACCAAGTCTCCTGAGGGTGAGGGCTGGGGCTGCTCCAGGAAGAGCCCGCGGAGCCTGGACACTGGCCCTCAGGCCCTCCCTCAGCTCCGGAAGACCCCAGGGCCCACTGCCAACAACCCCCAAAGAGCCAGGCCCCTTCTGTCTCCAGCAGTCACTCCCCACTCAGGTCTCCACCTGGGCCCTGGAAGGCTGCAGGGTCCCAAGAAGGGCACTTGCTGCCCTGGGAGGCATGCTGGAGTGGGGTCCTGGGGGTGCTGGGACCTCAAGGCCCCGGGGGTCAGGGCTCAGGGAGGCTGGGGCGGCGCCAGGCTCAGTCCTGCAGCCAGAAGAGCTGCAGCGCAGCAGCCCCCAGGATGGCCGCGAGGGTCAGCACCATGAAGACCAACCCGGCCGCCCAGACACCGTAGCTCTGTGCCCGCCACTGGGCCGGGGCCTCAGCCGGGGTCATGTTGGTCAGGTTCAGCATGTAGCCCAGCGTCCAGCCGATGTCCATGCCGCTGGCCTGTAGGCCGCACAGCTGGTCAGGGCTGCGGGCCGCGGCCCCCAAGCCCCCAGCCCACCCTGCGCCAGGCGGTCACCTGCTTGCGGAACTTGATGCCGGGCCAGGTCTCCTCCCGGAAACCGTAGCCCTCCAGCAGGAGGGTGAGGATGTACAGGCCGGAGGCACAGTAGTCCCGCAGCCAGCGGTCCTGCCCCGGCGAGCTCGCCTCCACCTGCGGGCCCGGGGAAGCCAGGGGCCCGGTGAGGCTCACCTTCTGGCCCACTGGGATTGGGCCCACCTGGAGGCATGACCCTGGGTCTCCTGCCTGGAGCAGGATGGGGTCCCACCGAGCCCCTGCCCGGTGAAGTCTGCAGCCCAGGGGGCTGGGGGGCCCAGGTGGGTCAGGCAGCCCTGGCATCCACCCACCAGCTTCCAGGGCCTCTGGCAGAAGTCCCAGATGGTGGCATTGACAGTGGCCAGCGGCTGCCCAGAGGTGAGGTTCAGGAAGTGGAAGGTGTGATAGTAGTTGGAGAAGGCCTGGGGGCGGAGATGGGGGGCGGCATGGGGGTAGGACAAGCCTGGGTGAGCCCCACCCCACCCCACACGGGGTCCCAGGCTCCCCCAGCCCCCTGGACTCCGGAAGGAAGTCAGGCCCCGAGGCGGGCAGCGGGCGTGCTCACGTAGAACTGGCCCCGCACGGGGGGCTGGTAGACCCCATTGAAGGCACAGTCGCCTCGGCCGCCGCAGCTGGAGAAGTTGAAGAGACCCCGGATGGCCGCGACGCAGGCCCCGGGGTTCCCCGTCCCCTCCACCGTGATGTTCTGGGCCAGGTCTGCGGGCGCCGCAGCGCGGACACAGGGCAACTCGTACAGGGGGGCCAAGGGCAGCGTGTCCCGGTAGCTGCTGTGGTAGCAAGGGTGGCGGACCAGGGGGCCCTGGCTGCTCTGTGGGGGCGGGAGGCGGCTATTAGCTCAAGCCTGGCCAGCGGCCCCGTGCCCTCGGCCCGCGGCCCAGCTCACCTGCACCAGCCCTGCCAGGAGCCTGCTGAGCACCTGGTCGCGCCCGAAGCAGAGGTAGCTGTGGGTGTAGACGCTGTGGTCGGAGCCGTACAGGCGGAAGGTGGCCTGGGTGCTCTTGTCCAGTATGGGGACCCCGGGCACAAAAGTGATCTGCGTGGAGGCCCCACCCATGTCCAGGGCGCCCACCAACGTCCCGTCTAGAGGCGGGATCCATTCTCCGGAGAAGGAGTACTGAGCACAGACAGGGGACACTGAGTCCCGGGGCCGGCCTCACTGACCCGCAGCCTGGAGTCCGGCCCCGGCCCTGGGGCTGCCCACGGCACCTTGACCAGCTTGCCCAGGATGTAGTTGATGGTGATCCAACCAAAGGCACCTTCATCCTGCCCACCCAGGAGCTCAGCACCCCAGAAGTCCAAGGGAGACTGGCCCAGGACGCGGCTGACCGCTGCAAAGATGTCCTCTGCCTGAGAGCTGTTCTTCTGGCTGCACAGAGAGGCCGGGGGCTGGGGCTGGCTGGAAGCCCACACCTCCTGCGCCCTGCCCCGGGCGGGGGCCAGCACTCTCACGCTGAGCCTCGCGGACCTGCAGGGCCCCATGCCAGCCGCCTCACCTGAGCAGCCTCATGCCCGCCGTGGCCCCCAGGAACATGGGCGTTTCCTGGTGCTGGGCCTCTGGGATCAGGGCCAGCGCCTCCTCCAGGCAGCCCTGCAGACTCTCGCCAGCCTGTTCAGGGTCAGAGGTGTAGGAGGAGATTCCAGGCCCTGAAACACAGCACCCCAGGCAGGGCTGGGCTGAAAAGGCCTGTGGGAGGTTGAAAGGTAGTCCCCAGTGATGCGTCCACAACCTCACCCTCGGAGCCTGCAAACGGGACCTTATTTGGAAAAGAGGACTTTGCAGGTGTAATCAAGTTAAGGATTTTAAGATGAGATCATTCTGGACTCCCCAGTTCCCTGAATCCAATGACCAGTGTCCTTACAAGAGACGGGAAAGGGGGATTTGAGACACAGGGAGTGACCACGTGCGGGGGGAGGGAGAGACCACGTGCGGGGGAAGGGAGAGACCATGTGCGGGGGGACGGAGAGGTTGGAGGGATGCTGCTGCAGGCCTGGGAGTGTCTGGGGTCCCCAGAAAAGGCTGTGCCAGATCCCTGCCAGGCAGCAGTTGGCAGGTCCCAACAGCCACCCACCGCTGACGGAATGGCCCCCTGACCTTCCACCTGGCAGGCCAGGGCCTGGCTGACCACGCCTGTGTCATTCTCCTTGTCCGCTGGCCACTGATACACAAAGAGGGACGTGTGGGAGGACCCGGCGTCAACCACGATCCCGAACTGGGAGAGACACCAGGGTGAGGAGGGCATGGGCCGCCCGCTGCTCAGCCTAGCCTAGCCTCCCTCCGTGGGGCCCAGGGCTGCACCTTGGTGTCTGCGGGCAGGAGGACGTTGGTGGCCTCCACCAGGATGAGAATGAGCGTGACAAGGCCAGAGACGGCTGCGAACCCCAGCAGGACCGTGAAGACTCGCTCCTTCTGAGTCAGCCCCATGGTGGGGGCAGGACTGGCACCTGCGGGGTAGGCAGCAGTGGGTACCCCGAATCTGCCAGCTGCAGATGGAGAGCTCCTCCATGCCCCCTGGGGCTCAGCCCACCCACCCTGGCTGGGTCTAAAGGGCAGGGCCAGAGACCAGGCCGGGAGAGCTGGGTTACCCAAGGTGTTGCGGGCGTCAGAGGGGCCTGCGTGGGCTGTGCACCCCGATGCCCCATCTGGCACCAAGGCTGGCCCGGACACAGCCCTTTGTAATGCCGACCCCAGGGTGTCATCCTGCCCACCTGCCCCCACAGGAGAAGGAGCCCCAGCTCTGACGGTCAGCTCCAGACAGAACTTGGGGGACCCAGGACCCCATTTATTCCTCCCACCAGGGGCCTCTCCCAGGACAGTCTTCTCCAGAGCTCGGACCCTGCGGCCAGGCCTGGACCGGGTGGGGCAGGGGATGGCCTGGCATCCAAGTGCTGCCCTGCGGTCCGTGGTAACCAGGGGTGAGGTGAGCAGAGTCCCAGGGAGAGCATCGTGTCTACTGAAGGAGCTGGAGACCCAGGAGTGCTGAAGAGCGACACCTGGTTTCCGTTTGAAAACCCAGCCTCAGGTGTCTCTCATCTGACTGACACATTTCAGTCGGCCCCAGGACAGTCCCTCGGCAGCTGGCCCAGATGACCCAGGATGAGGTTCGCACGGGGCCGAGGCACCCAGCTCGGTGGCTGAAGCCCTGTGGGGCCTCTCCAGCCCCCAGATGTCCCCAAGAAGGCCATGTGCACAAGGCCACCGGGAGCCTCAGGCCAGCCACTGTCGCCGCCCAGAGGAGGTGGTCTGAGGCCTCCAGAGCTTCGAGGTGTGTGGACTTTGTGTGGCGTCAGCAACCCCGTGAGAATGCAGACCTCACTGATGTGCCTCCTGCGCCAGGGGTGTGGGGACTCCTGGGTGAAGGCAGCGGCCTTTGCCCCAGGCCTCCTCCTGGCCCACCAGGCAGTGCAGCAGGCTGTCCGGGTTATGAGCCCATTTCAAGGAGGGAAGATGGAGGCTCAGAGAAGAAGGTGACCTGCTTGAGCCACAGTCAGGCCAGGCCCAGATGGACCCAGCCTGTGTCCCCAGCCAGCACCCTGGTCACAGGCAGGGGCCAGGGACACTGGGACCCCACCCCACTCCCCAGCCTGCAGGGCGCGAGGCAGCCAGAGCCTCCAGTGGGTGGGGTCAGCCCCCCCCACCCCACCAGGACGCCCCTCACCTGGGCTGGTGGACGACTGGCGGCAGCAGGAGGAAGGACTGCTGTCTGTCCCCTGGGCACTGCTGGTGCCGTCCCGCTCTCCCCACCCCCCAGCCAGTCACCGCCCACCTGGGCCCGGCCTGCGGCCAGGCCGGCAACCAGCCTGGGGACCCGGGACGCTGAGGCCAGGGCTGCTCACCCCACCCAGGGGCACCGCCCAGGGTGGTCCCATCCCCCCACTGCCTGGGGCCACCCTGACCCTTCCTGGAGGCTGCTGGGACTTTGCCCTCCGACTTGCTCTCCCCCAGCAGGGAGCCAGGTGCCAGGGCTCAGGTCTGGAGCAGGGCGGAGTCAGGTGACTGGAGAGGCCCGAGGCCGAGGGCTTGGCCGGAGCAAAGGCCACCCGGTCCTGGGAGGAGCCCCAGCCTCTCTGGAGTCGTGGCTGGCTGAGTTCCAGGCGCGCAGCACAACTGCCCAAATGTTCTCAGCGCGACACCCGGCTTCTCTGCACTCTTTCAGGACTCGCTGTCACAGGTTTTCGTTTCAGCCTCCCTGACAGCCGCAGAGGGAGCCCTCCTGCCCTCAGTCAGCGCCGGCGCCGCGAAGCTGACAGTCCTCCCCGCACACGGCGTCCCCGCTGGTGGTCACACCTTTCGCTCACCTTACAGTGACACTGTTTGATTTCTTCCTGCCCCTTTACAGACTCCTTTATGCTTTCTAGACGTAGTCCTTTGTCACGTATGAGGTTCGCAAACTTTTAAACCCGTGATGAACCCAGTTCATCAATGCGTTCTCCTGTGGGTGGACTTTTCATGTGTTTACGAGGAACTGTTTGCCTCACCCCTGGTCATGAAGATTTCTTTCTCCTCAGGTCACCAACTTTTACAATGTAACTTAATCTGTGACCCACTTTGAATTACTCTTTGTAAGAAGTGCGGCTGAGGCAGGTCCGTCCGCTCTGCACACAGATGGCCGAAGCTCCAGCACTGGACGTTGAGAAAACCATCCTTTCTCGACGAACTCCTTTGCACCTTTGTGTAAAGAGCTGTATTTTCTGGACCCTCTGTGGTGTCTGTCTCCTCCCAGCTCTGTCCTGATTCCTGCAGCCACGTCACAGGTCTTCACACTGTGCAGTCTGGGCCTCCAGCTTTGTTCTTCTTTTTCAAAGCTGTTTCAGCTGCTCCGGCTCCTGTGTCCTCCATGCATATTTTACAGTCTGCCCCTCTTTACGGGCAAAAAATTCTCCTGAACCTTTCATTACTTGGCATTACGTCAAAAGTCTGTGATCACTTTGGGGAGAATCAATACCTTTACCATTTTGAGCCTCCCAGTCCATGAGCACAATTTTGCTTTTCTCCATTTATTTAGCATTTAGGTCTTTAAAAAATTTGTTTTCATCAGCATCTTCTAGTGTTTAGAATAAGGACCCAGTACATGTTTTGTTAGATTTTTACCTAAGTGTTTCACTTTTGTGGGGAGCTACTGTAAATGGCACTATTTATTCTTTTATTTTTTAATAATTCTTGTTGTTCTTGGAGTTGAACACTCCCTAATGATTTTTTTCATTTTTAAGTTTTATCAGGTAGAATTGTTACAATTTACATATGTTGCATGTAAATACATATGCACAATATGCTGCACATATTTTTTAAATTTGCATATATGCACTGTTCATTGTTTCTAAGAACATTTAGAGCTTCAGCTTTTTAAACCTGCATAGTTATCAAAGGAATAAAGCCAACCACAAAATCAAAATTAATCCAAAAAGATACATACACCCCACTATTAACAGCAACATTGTTTATAATCACCAAGACGTGGAAACGTCCTAAGTGCACATCAGCAGATGAGTGGATACAGAAGATGCACCATATGTACGTAACAGAGGGCCGCTCACCCACAAGAAAGAAGGATGTTTTGCCATTGGTGGCCCTTTATTCACTTTTTTTTTCCACTTCAAAAACCGGAATTTTATAACTGGCATAAACATTTCCATTACATCAAAAAGAGCAAAACACCCAGAAACAAATCTAACCGGGGAGGTTACCCATACTCTTAAAACTGTCATGCACTGACGAAGGAAACTGAAGATACAAAGAAATGGAAAGATGTCTTGTGCTCTTGGATTGGAAGAATCAACACTGTCAAGATGGCCACACTGCCCGGAGCAATCCACAGACCCAGTGCAACCCCTGTCAGAATACAACATTCCTCACAGAACGAGAGCAAACAAGTCCAGAATTTATGAGGAACCACAAAAGACCCCAAACATCAAAGCAACCTTTTGTAGGCCTTTCTTTTTTCCCTCTTTCTTTTTTTGTTCTCTTGCTTGTGGTTTGATGACTAGAGAAGTTCCTAACATTTGCTGTAGAGCTGGTTTGGTGGTGCTGAGTTCTTTTAGCTGTTGTTTATCTGCGAAGCTTTTGATTTCTCCATCAGGTCTGAACAAGAGCCTTGCTGAATAGGGTATTCTTGGTTGCAAGTTTTTCCCTTCCATCACTTTAAATACACCGTGCCCCTCCCTTCCGGCCTGGAGAGTTTCTGCTGAGAAATCAGCTGATAACCTGATGGGAGCTCCTTTGTATGTTATTCGTTGGTTTTCTCTTGCTGATTTTAGGTTTTTTATCCTTTCTTAATTTTTTTATCAGTTTGACTGACCTGTGTGCCTTGGTGTGTCCCTCTCTGGGTGGACCCTGTGTGGAGCCCTCTGCGCTTCCTGGACGTGGGTGACTGTTTCCTTTCCCAAGCTGGGTAAGTTTCCAGTGACCATGTCTCCAAAAATTGTCTCAGGTCCTTTCTCTCTCTTCTCTTGCTGGGACCCCTATAATGTGAATTTTTTTTTATCTTTCATTTTATTTTTTGCAGCGTTAGCTTATTTTTATTTATTTTTTACTGGAGGTATTGGGGATTGAACCCAGGACCTTGTGCATGCTAAGCACATGCTTTACCCCTGAGCTACACCCTCCCTGCTGAACAGCAGTTTTAAAAAATCCAGTCTTCAGTTGTCCACTAGTGGAAGTAGATGCCATTGGTCCTCCTGGTGGACCCTGCTCCAGCCACCTCGCCAAGCCCACTTCTCAGTTCTGGGAGTTCGTGCACAGACTCCCTGGGATTTCTAACGTGGACAACCCCCAGGTCTATCAGGAGGGA